GCCATCTGAAAGCCCGTGATGATAATTTTCTGCTGATTACAGAACCGGCATTACTATCAAAATGCGCATGACAATCGCATTCGATTAATCGTGCAGCCCTACTCTCTAGGTCAGCAATCACCTTAAGACTATTAAAACAAAGGCAGAAGAGTGCATTCACATGCAGTCATTTCTAACAGACAAATAAATGTGAGGACCTAGATGTGAGATGTTGTACGTGTCTTCTGATCTGCGCTGTTTGTGTTTTCTACAGTAGCCTTGTATTCTGTAGACTAATTAAGCTAAAAATAGAAAATGCATGCGAGCTCTCACATAATGTGAATAACACTGTCCATCCTTTATTTAATCTCTAGTTTCGATGAATATTTAAAAGCTGACTGTACGATGCAGGACCTGTTTGTTAAGTTGAAGGAACGGTTGGCTTACACAGTTTATACTAGATCTAGCGATGACTGACAACATCACTCATGGATTAACTCATTGAGCAGATTCCAAAACAGTCCTGATTAGCCGGACCCATCTGTCATGAACAAGAGGAGAGAGTATTAAAATGTGTACATGCTTGTGTAAAACATGCTTTGCGTGGAAAAACTCACTAGCTTTCAGTCAACTCATGTCTCACTAGCATTTTTACCTCAGTAATTTACAGGGCTACTACATTTTTAGGGAACAAAAGCGAGTGAAAGCAAAGCTGACTGACATTGTTAAGGTACTGTGAACGGTGTGTTGAAATCCAGTTCTCTTTAAAGTGAATCTGTCAGTTTGCCATATGGGTTATCCCTGATTTACAAGACAGTTGGAGGTGGAAATGAACACCATAATTCCAGATTTTGGCAAAATGGAAGGAGGCTGTTAAGAATTTCAGGTTTTAATGTTCAAGTTAAGTCAATACAAGAAACAGTAAGCTCAATCAACAGAATTTGGGGTATGTTGTTGATTAGTATAAACATTATTTTGACCCATTCCTCCTTTTCCTTAAAGTCAGCATGAAATAAAAATAATTTTTTCATTATTTTAAATGCTTGCTATTGATGTAAGCTGATTTTTGTATGCTGGACTTTTCCATTCATTTAGTCCGCTTTCTTAAATTTGACTTCAAGCTCGCATTCAGATGTGACTGCATCCAATCAGCTTGCAATGCACAGAACCAAGTCCCCTCTCTACATTATTTCTGATAATCTATTTTACTCCGATGTATACAAAAGAAAAGATCTGATGATCTGTCGCTACTTTTGTTTCATCGCAACTTTGAAAAATAACAAGGTTACAATTAAAGTAAATTAGGTCCTTCTGCATGAGAACTTTACTTACTGAGAACTTCTTAATTTTGCCTTGTTTTGTAAAACCAAACCCAGTCCCAAAAATCTCCAAGACACTTCTTTAAGAAATCCTTGATGTAATTAAGATCAATAGGGCATTTTGACTGACAAGGAACACAATAAATTATTAATTTACAAAGATTTCACACTGACATCAATATCCTGTAGCAGAATATGACCATAATTGGACTGACTATAACCTTTCAGATATGCAGGGGAGTTCACTGACCGTCTGACCTGACAGGAACTCACCCTGTTTGGCCTCCAGCCGAAGCAGTCTCAATCTGCTTGGGGAAGACACGCAGACGGTCCTGAAAACATCCTCTGCAGGTGCACTGCACCAACATGGCCAAATAACCAACCCTTGACCCCTAGTGAGCAGACAGACTACTGAATTTAATCCCCAAAAAAGGCTTTACTGTACCAGTCTAACTGCAGTTGATGGCTGAAGGAAACTATTTACATCTAGTGTTTACATTAAGTGCATACATTACTGGAATGGTCAATAGATGCTAATGGTCTTTTCATGTTGTTTGGATGCAGCTGTTGTTTGGTGTCATACAGGCTTGATTCAAGCAATTAGTCTGCTACTGCCATTGCTGTTGCAGCTCATAATGTTAAATAAACGAGTCCCTGATGGTTAATCTTAAAGGGGTCATATGATGCGATTTCAATTTTTCCTTTCTCTTTAGAGTGTTACAAGCTCTTGGTGCATAAAGAAGATCTGTAAAGTTGCAAAGACTAAAGTCTCAAATCCAAAGAGATATTCTTTATAAAAGTTAAAGAGTCAACCACGCCTACCTAAAACAGCTCGTTCTAACACGCCTCCACATGTCTACATCAAGATGTGGGAAGATTTGCATAACACCGCCCAAATGTTCATGCAAAGAAAGAAGGCGTAACTTTTATTCTCGCTGTAGTATTGTTGTTGCCGTGTTTCTCGTTGTGAAAGCGAAACTACTTTGTTTGGCCTTCCAAAA